GGCCTTCCCTAGATCACCAGAACCCCCAGCTCTGTTTCTGTGTGCCTGTTGACAGCACCAAGTTCCACGCCAACAAGAAGCAGGCCCCTCCAATCCTCAGACAGGCCAGAAAGCATCGCTCAGTCACACAGCTTCAAAATAAGTGCTTTGGTTTTGACAACTAGCTTTTAAAGGGCTTTAAATGGTTAATATAACTTTAAATTGGGGTGGAGGTTTGCCTGAGGTTCCCCAATCTTTTTCAGGGTAGAACTTGCTCTAAAGCATACAGTGAGTCATGAAGAAGTGCATAATGCTGACCAGAGCCCCACAACTAAGCAGGAAACATGAGCATCAAGCCGATCTTCCAAAGAACACACCAGCCTTCTGCACTCCATCGTACTGACCTGGCCCAGTCTGTGACAGTTACAAGCAGCGAGCTGACATTGGAAAGGCACACACAGGGACAATCATTTACAAAGTTGGTCTTGCTGATCCCATGCATTTATTTGTAGGAAGGTAAGCCAACATTTCACCTTCCCACTAGGTAACAGCACGCTTGTGATGGTTTCTGGTAGATATCCCATCAGTACAATTAGACTCCTTTCTCCAATTAGTAGTTTTTTGATACACTTTGTCATTTTCTGGAAAATCTATGAATGAAAGGGTCTTTCAAATCTATGATTTCTACTCTAGAATATGTTAGTGTGTTGTATTATGTTGCTAACAACCACAAGAGCTAATGTCATAGCCCATAGAGTGTGCTCTGCATTAGTGATTGGGGTTTTAAAAGGTCATGAGTGGCTGGCTATCTAAGGTGCAAGTATCATTCTCTCCCTGTCCAGATAAAGAATTAAGAAAACGAAGTTGCAGTGGAAACTAGTCCAATGGACTGACCAGAGAACAATCAGTCCCCTGACCCAACTACCACTACCACTACTCTGAAAGGATTCGAGTACAATGGGTGGGAAATGTGGGAAAACGCTCAACACCGTAAGAAAAACAAAACAGAAACAGGCTTACTGGGAAGATAGAGACTAGTGCTACATTGGCCCTTAGTGACCTTTCAGGTCTGGAAACGAACTCACTCCCATGTCTCAATTTTCAGCCAAACAACAGACATGACTATAAAAAAAACAATAGCACGTGGGCCAGACCGACACCCCAGCCCAACAACAATATTTTTCTCATGGTCTTACTTTTAGGCCTGTGCTTGGGGTTATTTGGGACCAAGATGCAGAAAATTGCATTGGCTAGACCACATCAGCTCTAGTTTCTTCCATATGATGTTTCACTATATTTTCTGTCATTGTTGTACTAATCTATTCATTCATCATCCTAGTTTTATCTATGAGAAGAATTCAGGCACACAAATTACAGAGTAAGACAAGAAAGGTAAGAAAGATTTTTTAGTTCCTAAAGGTTTCCTCCCCGCTCCCACTACCATGACTCGAATTCTATCTTGCAAGACTGGCTAGACCAGAGGAGGTACACTGGTACAGATAGGAACTGAAAATACAGGGAATCCAGGATGGATGAGCCCTACAGGACCAGTGGTGTGAGTGGCGAAACAGGGAGGGTAAAGGGAGAATGGGTAGGAAAGAGGGAACCGATTACATGGAACTGTGTGTGACCTCCTCCCTGGGGGACAGACAACCGAAAAGTGGATGAAGGGAGACGTCGGACAGGGCAAGATATGACAAAATACCCATTTATAAACTATCAAGGGCTCATGCGGGAGGGGGGAGCGGGGAGGGAGGGGAAAAATGAGGACCTAATGTCGGGGGTTTAAATGGAGAGAAAATGTTTTGAGAAACGATGTACAAATGCGCTTTACACAATTGATGTATGTATGGATCATGATAAGAGTTGTACGAGCCCCTAATAAAACTATTTAAAAAAAAAAATTATAAAATGTAAAAAAAAAAAAGAAAGAAAGAAAGATTCTTATGAGCCCCTAATAAAATGTTAAAAAAAAAAAAAAAGAAAGATTTTTTAAGAAATTGTGAAGGGACTTCAAGGGAAGCTGAGCTGCCAATCATAAGGTCAGTGACTGAAACCCACCAGTCACTCTGCGGCCTTTCAAAGATTTAAAGTTTGGAAAATCCAGGGGGCAGTTCTTCTCTGTCCTCTGGGGTCATTATGAGTTACAATCGATTAGAGGCAGCGGATGTTTCTTTTTGGTCAGGAGGCTGGGCCATACCCACAGAGACTATAATGTGAGGACTGCAAAGCCCGAGTACAGCATGGCAAGAGTGGAAGATAAAAAGGAGCACTGAAAAGGAAGGTGTATGGGCAAAATAACAGTGCCAAAACATAATTAAGACTTCACACCAATTTTCATAAATATTTTGGAGATCTAAATTTTTCTTCAAATTATGCCAACATTTCAAAACACATTTTCATATACAGCAGTCAATAGATAACTCAGATGAAATACTTCAGGGGTGAAGCTGACTCCAAACTTACTTACACAAAAAAACTCTAACTTTCAAGAGTTTCTATGTACAAGTGGAGAAGTTGTGCCATCTTATATGTAATAATACTGGAACACTGTACTTTAATAAATGAGTTTGAATGCGGACAGACCATTCTGAGTTTCAGAACATTTGAATCTCTTTGTATTGCACCAAACTCAGTACCAGTCATTCAGTCGATTGCGACTCATACTGACCCTAAAGGGCAGGGTGGAACTTCTGTGGGTTCCTGAAGCTATAAATCTGTATGGGAGCAGAGTCTCTTGCTGTCTCTCTTGCAGAACTGGTGGACTCGAATAGCTGGCCTTGTGGTTAGCAGCCAAACGCATAAACCACTGTGCCATCATCAGGCCTCCTGATTTATTGTACAATAACTCTTATTTTGGCCCCTTTGGAAGATAACATTTTAGAACTGCCTGCTAGTCAGTTCCTTAATTTGTAATTTGTACTGTCCTATTATACCTTTGGATCAGAGGATACCATGTGAAGTATAGCCTGACCTAAATATTTAGTACAACACAAACTACCTCTGTTCTCAGGCTAGCTAACACTATTATTAAAATATCCTGGTTTGGCCCACATGGAAGAAGCACACCAGCCTCTATGATCATAAAGTGTTGACAAGATCAGGTATCAGGTATCAGGCATCAGAAGACCCAAAACAAACTATCACATCAATTCGAACGAGCGGGGGCCAAGTGGAGACCCAAAGCCGATCTGTAGACAATTGCACATCCCTTCACAGAAGGGTCACAAGGAAGTGACAAGCCAACCAGGGTACAGTATAGCACTGACGAAACATACAACATTCCTCTAGTTCTTTAGTGCTTCCCCCACACCCCAACTAACATGACCCCAGTTCTACCTTACAAATCCAGCTAGACCAGAGCATGTACACTGGTACAGATAAGAACTCTTGAAACACAGAATCCAAGACAGATAAATCTCTCAGGAACAATAATGAGTAGAGGTACCATGAGAGTGAGGAGAGAAAGGGGGAACTGATCACAATGACTAACATACACACACACACACACACACACACACACAGGGTGATGAACAACAGAAACATGGGTGAAGGGAGCCAGTAGATGGTGTAAGATATGAAAATAATAATAATTTATAATTTAACAAGGGCTCATGGGGAAGGGAGGAAAAAATTGAGCTGGTACCAAGGGCTCAAGTAGAACATGTTTTGAAAAGGATGATGGCAACATAAGTACAAATGTGCTTGACACAATCGATGGGTGGGTTGTTATAAGAGCTATAAAAGCCCCCACTAAAATGATGAAAACGGGGGTTGGGGGAGGAAGCATTAATAAATAAATAAATGAACGAATAAATAAACAAACAAATAAATAAATAAATAAAATTTTAAAATGATTAAAACAAAACCAAAAAAATCCTGGCTTTTCACGGGCAAGCAGAGTGAAGAATGGTCTATGGCACATGTCTGTATCTCAAAAATGAGGGCCAATGGAGGAAAACTGTTGTCATTTTTTGAATCAGCAGGTCAAATACACCCAGAAACAAGTCTAACATCTGAGGCACCAAAATGTGTGTTGGACAGTGAGCCATTTTGAGCCCAAAGGCAGCATTTACCCAAGGACAAAGCTCAGAAGACCTAGGAAAGAGGTGGTATGGAAACCGGAGACACTGGGAAGAAATAGGGTAAGTGATGCTATGCTGTACAGCATGCACCCAATGACATGAAACTGTGGATGAATTGCTGAAGGTAAAACTGATGGCCTGCCCTGTAAACTCTCACCCAATTCACAGTGAAAAGTGAAACAGAAACAACAAAGACCGAATGTGAGGAACTGTGCTCAATCTGTCACTTTTTGTGGTAACTTGAGATTTTCTTCAATATGATACAAGACACAACTTTTCAATCAACCCATCCTTCCACAGTCAATCTGAATTCCCAAGTACCGTCTCCTCACCACCACCCACCACCCTCTTTGGAGGAAAGGGCACAAGCCTTGGCAGTTGGGCAAAACCTTTCAAGATCACACCACAGGATACAAATAACAAAATGGCCACCTGATGTTTATAGACATCCAATGCAGTTGGTCTCCCAGTTACTAAGGCACCACTCAGTCTGAGGAAACAACCTCAAACAAGTCCAAGCACAGTACAGAAAAGAACCATCATTCAGGGCAGAATGAGATGACACAAGAGACAGAGAGGAATACCAAATACGCTACAAAATGAAGAAATGAAGCTGGAAAAAGCAAAAAGGTACAAAGAAAGGTCACTGAAAACCAACAAGGCACAAGAGCAGGAAAGAACTAAGTAATCGGTCAGAAAACATCGATGGCATGACACACATTCCCTCCGCAAAGGAATGTGGGCTAGGTTCAGAGCTAGTCATCCCTGCTCCTCAGGCAAAGGACCAGGACTGTACATACTTACAGGCAAGGTCAATCTGGCCACAGCCTAAGCCTTAACAAGAACAGGATGGTGGCAGCAGCTTGGGAAAATTCAGAGTTCTGTGGAGGGCTAATCTGGGGTAGGGCTGGGGTGGGGGGGTTTTCAAAGGCTTACCGTAAGACCAGTATTTAGAGGTGACGCTTCTTCTGTGCACACAGACAAGATGGAGAGGGAAGGCATCTGGGAGGAGGGAGACAGGGTTGGCACCTCTGTGCCGCTGTCCAAGTTCAAAGCGGAAAGCCCAAGAGCAGGATGCCCATTGAGCTCACTGGCACTGCTCTGGGTGGAAGGCTTTAAGGAATTCCGGAACGTGCCATTGCGGAGGCAGGATGTGCTATGGAAAGTGCTCGCCAGCTTGGCTGTCTTCTGATTGCTGTCATCAGAGTCAAGTTTGGGGAAAGATAGGGATTTGATATTGCTTACTGCAGGGATGGGGGGAAGGGGCACTTTGGAAGACAGCGACATCTTTTCACAGTTGCCCAACTGTGGTAAGGTTATAAAGCCATTGGGTTTGTGAAGAGGCTTGAAATCTAGAGTCGCCCGCTCCAAGGATGCTAGGACCTCCTCCTCATCCTGTAATACAGATCCAGAGCCTCCTCCGGGCAAGGTATTGTCCAATAGCTGAGCCACAATGGGTCCAGTGGTTCCTACCAGAATGTTTCTCAGCTCTTCCTTCTCATCAATAGTTTTTAACTCCAGATTATCAAAAGGGTCCTCTTCACACTCAAAGTCAGCAGGATTGAAATCTGCCTTCGTGTGAGGCGGGCTGAGAACTTTCTGTTTCGTGGCACTGCTGCTGACCCGAGTCGGGGTGAGGATGCTGTTGTGCTGTAAGCTGGCAAGGATGGGGTTAATGGGAGGTGGCATGGTGGCTACACTCTGAGTCTTGGAGAAGCTCATTTTGCTGTCACCCTCTGGGCCACTCTTAGAACTCACTTTAGCTTCTGCTTCTTCCACTTTGCACTCAGCTTCCCGCTGGGCTTCTTGGATTTTCTTAATGTCTTCAGCCCACTCGACGGTTTTCTTTTCCAAGGAGAAGTCATACTGCAAAGATATAGCAGAGAGAAAGGTAGGAACCCAAGTCAGCCCCTCCTCCAACCTGCTCCTCCATTTTCTCGTCACCCACTTCTACACTGTGGGAAAACTGGACAAGGCAACAGGTGAGGTATGCAGGATGACCTGGTGCAGGAAGACTATGGTTTTCAATCCCGTCATTCTATTGAATCAAATCAAAGTCCCAGGTTACTTCTGTAAACTAACAAGAAAAAGTTCCCAGCACATTTTACCCTAGGTATCAGTTCAAATGTGCCCTGTCACTTCCCTTACCTGTCTCCCCTCCGACCATTCCTCCTCCTGGACTACCTGCTCTCTGCAGCTTCCTTACTATTAATTCTCAAACCGTTGATCTCTTTCAACCACTGAATACCGAGCGCATGTGAGTTTTATTCTCTAACTACTTTCCCAAGCGTATCACAAGCCGTCGGCGGGCAGCAACTGGACGAGACTCTCCATGGATCCCTATTGTCTAGCCCAGGTGACCTGCTCAGCAGTAACGATAGCAGGCAACATTTATGATGCACTTACATGTGCCATGTATGATTCTAAGCCCCTTTCATGTATTAACTTTCCAGATTGTCTTAAGACAGGCACTATGTTTATCCCCACTTTACAAAGCACAAAGGGTATATAACTTAGCCAAGATCATAAAGTTGGTAAGTTGTAGAGCCTGGATTTGAATCCAGGCAGTATGACTACAAATCCTATGTTCTTAAACCACTACTCTATTAAGATTACATAACACTACCTTAAAATATAGTGCAATTAAAGATTTCATTTGCACACATAAAAGAAATGCACCTATTATATAGAACTAGATTAACCTAAACCAGGAGCAAACAAAAGCCTTGGTATTCCCTCTTAACTGCTGATCAAATCGATGTCTGTGTGTAAAGCCAGGTTAGAGACATAGTAGGGGGAAAAAAGAAAAGAGGGAGAGAGGGAGGAAAGAGGCCTTCATGCTAAGACAAGAGTTTTAGAGGGGGAGAAACAGAGTAAAGTGCCTGTGGTCATGTCCATGTCTTTAGCGTCAACACCACCAGGACAAGCTGCATGTCAAGAAACACACTTCAATCCCTGAGCCGGTGCTGTGCCCCAGGAAGTCACGCAGGGGATCACTGGGCTGTCTCTCTACCACACACACCGGGAAATGGGGGGGAAGCACCGGGAAAAGCTCAGCTGCTTCTAACTACAAAGGAAACCCAGGGTGCACTGGTTTCCTCCACCCGAAACAGGTTGTACCCACCTCCCCACTGCCCACAGACACACAACACTTATGTTTTACTCCCAAGAAGAACTGGAGATTTTTCTTTTTCTTCATAAAAGCTTTTCTAACAAAAGTAACGTAGAGCACATGGAACACCAGGGAAAGAAAGCGAAGAGAGTAAGAAATCAGACTACTGACGTCCACGTGGAATTTGGCAGTACCATAGCAGTAAGCACTATGAATGCATTTTACCTTACTTAACCCTTACAACAACCTCAAAGTGACTGTTCCCACTTTACAGGTGAGGACATGACAATTGGCAGGGGTTCACAAAGCTATCAGATAGCCGTCCCAGCCGCGTGTGAGCAACACTGGGATCTGTCCTAACCCATGACACTGAACTCCACCCCTCACCTACCACCACACTCCATGATGTGCAAGTGCTATGCGTGTTTCACCAGCTCACTTTTCTGGAATTTCAATTCAAAAAATGAAAACTCATACTCCCAAACAATGGCAAATATGACAAAGTAGTAGGAGTATTAGGGCACCCATTTGGGGTTCCAGATATAACTGATCTCTGATTGGAAGGGGACAGCAGCAATATCACAGCCCCACAGAGACCCCAGCCCACCAAAGTTTAAGGATGCTGTGTGTAACTAGAAAAAAACCCTCAGCTGGCCCACACCAGAATGAGGCTCACAGCCTTCATCATCTCATGGGTTACTTTTCGGGCAGTCACCGTCATTGTCATCAATTGTGACACACAGCAATGTATAGGACAGAGTAGAACTGGCCCATCGAGTTTCCGAGGTTGTTAATCTCTATGAAAGTAGATTGCATTCTCCCTCAAAGTGGTTGTGGGTTTGAACTGCTGACCTTGCAGTTAGCAGTCCAAAACATAATCCACTCTACCACCTTTTGATTTATACCATCACCTTAAAAATGGATGTTTCCAATCAGCAAACTGAAGACCTTTGATTTTGTCAGCTGAGGCTGTGAAGAAAGCCATAGATTTGATAAAGAGTTTATGGAGGAAATTTCATTTCTTCCTTCTTGATGTTTCCCTCTCACTTGCTTTGAAGTGATTTCTCACTTGCTCTGGCACTTTCTAGGAACTGAATGTGCTATAAAGGATTTCTTGGGATTATGGCTGCAATGATAAGCTTTAAGTATTCTCTGCATGTCAATAATCCAGCCAGAATAGCCAGGGAGGCCTGGCTTCTTGACTTCTGCTGACAAGGTACTGGTATACTGTCCCGTCTCATTGTGGATGGAATCAACCAGTTAGGATTTCTCTGTTCTCTCAGGAAGCAAATGCTTGAAATGGACTTGGGAGTGTGGTTTTACTGGTGGCCAGGGTTAGCCAAGAGGTGGACAGCTTTTAACACACAACTGTGTTTTAGCAAGAGGTATCAAATTAAGATTGGAAAGCTTCAAGAATGCTACAGTGAACACCACCTCGGAGGTGACAGTGTACTTTAGGAATTAAGACACCAGGACTAGGTGCAGGGGCAGTGAATCACTTAATGTGGCTCTTCTAGTCAAAGTTTTTAAGTCCTACCAAACAACCTTTTTCTGCATGGGTCTGGTAAGAAGGTGGGGGAAGATACCGATAGGATTCACCTGTGAATAACTGCAACTAAGGTTCCCTGGAGGGTCATCCTGCTGTGTATAAAATGAGCCCTCTGAGAAGCAGGAGGAGGATCTCATTCCCTGCAAGTGTCAGGATGGAGCATATCCTCTGGACCTGAGATTCCTGCCCAGTGAACCTCCTGGATCAAGATGACAGTTGTATCATCAGAGCAGCAGCAGAACCAGCAGCCAGAGCATGGAATTAAGTGATGGACTTCCCAATCCAAGAAGCAAGTAAAACTGAGTATCTGGGGGGCAGGAGGCTGGTTTGAGGAACAGGGTGTCTCTTGGGCACTTAATTAGGAAGGCTGGACTTGCTAATCAACGAAAGTAGAGCTGAGTACCTTTGGGATGAGGTTTACTGGAGTGGGGTGCCTCTGGGCACTTAGATCAGGGAGCTGGGTTGCTGGGTCAACTCATGAAGCTTGAGTTGAATGCTTTTGGCTTGAGGTTTACAGCAGAGTGGTATGCCCCTTTTGGCATTTATTAGCAGACCAGAAAGAAACTTTATAACATATAATATGTGCTTATTAATAACTCAAACTTGAGCATTTCCCACTTGTTAATTTCCCTAATAAACCTTTAATCAAGAATTTTGTGGGGGGGGAAGAATTTTTTCTGAGTTCTGGGTAGCCACTGCAATGGATATTAGAATAAAGAACATTAATTTAGACTACTTAATAGCTATGAGGGAAAATTCTAAATGAGAGTTTTACTACTGCCACCACCCAGCGCAAGTCAATGAATTACATCAACCTGCATATCAAAAATGTCAAAATGCTGCACCTATTTAAATATTGGGGGGAGAGGATACTACTTAACTATTGGAGGTATGTGTTTTATTTGCCCCTTTATCTATCTTGCTCTGTAATGAATGTAATCACAAAGATGAAATGATCACAATACTTAAGTTTCTCTCTTAAAAAAAAAAAAGCGACACTCTCCTCTCCTCTCACATCACACTCTCCTCTCCTCTCACCCGACACTCTCCTCTCCTCTCACATCACACTCTCCTCTCCTCTCACAGCACAATCTCCTCTGGTCTCACAGCACACTCTCCTCTCCTCTCCTCTCCTCTCACATCACACTCTCCTCTCCTCTCACATCACACTCTCCTCTCCTCTCACAGCACACTCTCCTCTCCTCACAGCACCCTCTCCTCTCCTCTCCTCTCACAGCACATTCTCCTCTCTCTCCTCCCTTCTCCTCTCCTCTCACATCACACTCTACTCTACTCTCCTCTCCTCTCCTCTCTTCTCACATCACACCCTCCTCTCTCTCCTCTCCTCTTCTCTCTATCACATCACCCTCTCCTCTCTTCTCTTCTCCTCTCACATCACCCTCTCCTCTCCTCTCCACTCCTATCCCATCACACTCTCCTCTCCTCACCCATCACACTCTCCTCTCCTCACCCATCACACTCTCCTCTCATCTACTCTCACATCACTCTCCTCTCCTCACCTCTCCTCTCCTCTCCCATCACCGTCTCCTCTCCTCTCCTCTCTTCTCACATCACACCCTCCTCTCTCTCCTCTTCTCTCCTATCACATCACCCACTCCTCTCTTCCCTCTCCTCTGACATCACCCTCTCCTCTCCTCTCCACTCTTATCCCATCACAAAACCAAAAAAAAAAAAAGCAATTCAATGGGGCACATCTAGGTTAACTGCTATAACGTAACTCAAAGATAATATTTTACAACTTAGATTGGTAAGTAATATCTGGCGTCTTAATGGTCTTCTCTCCCTATCTGGAGCACAAAAGGAAGTAAAAAACCCATGGAAGCAATGAGTCCACAGGACTAATGGCCCTACTGAACCACAGCCTCACCTAGCCCGAGACCAGAACTGGATGGTGCCTGGATACTATGACTATAACTATTCTCATACAATAAAAGGTCCCAGTCAGAATGGGAGGAAAATAGAGAACAACTACATTTACAAAGAAGACCTAAAAGGGGTGGGAGTAGCATAACCTCACTCAATGGAATTGAACAGCAGAATTGTATGTGAATAGATACACTGGAATGTGTAAGATATGTCAATTAAAAATATTTTTTTAAGTACTAGGCTGATAGAGACTTCAGGAACCCCAAAGAACCCTAGCACATACGTTCAACTTTTCAGCCAAACAGACTGGTCTATGAA